AAACCCTAAACCCTCAAGCTTGGGGATTCGTGGAAGGGCACCTCTAACTGCAGGATGATGGAATCCTCACCCACGTCGTTGGCGGCAGAGACCTGCGGCTGCTGGCATTTTCGAAGATTACCCATAAGCCCCATAGTAGTTNNAAAAAGAACTACTGTGGGGCCTATGGGTAGGGACATCCTTGCTACGTTTACAACCCCCGAAGTAATATATCGGCAGATGCTATGCCAGGACAGCCTTCCTCACACCCCCTCAAGCCCGCCCCGAACCCCCCCTTCCCCCAGTCAATCGAGCAATTCGCCCTCTTGGGCGACCCGAAGCGTTTGCAATTAAGATACCCCGTTTTTCCCATAACCCCTCGGACTCGGTACCAGCTCCGAGCCGCCAACCTCAACTTGCCAGGCATCCGCGGGAGCGGGTGGCACCACAGCAGAAGGCCACGTGAGCTCCCCGGAGCTAACGTCCACCACCAATCCTCAACTGCTAGCCATTCGGGTTTCGGGTTCAGGGTTAAGGAATTCGGGGGTTTAGAACTTCCATACCGCCCCCTATCTGCGGCCCGATCATCACGCCAAACCCACCCAAATTTCTCGATTGGGACGGTATCCGCAATACAAAACAGGTACAATCGCTTCTTCTCCAAGCATCCTCAAGACAGCTGAATAGAAGCCTAAATAATCAGTACTACTCTTCCAGACAGGGTCCTTTAAAGTCCTGACATTAGGGTCCTTGTACAGTCTCTCCCAGAACCTTTTTTGAACCCTAAACCCTATAAACCCTAAACCGATATTATAACTTTCGTCCCAGAGGCCCAAGGGGCCGCTCACCAGCACCCAGGAGATTGGGCTTGTGCCCTGAGCCTCGAGAGATCTCGCGAGATCGTCTGTCTGGGGTTCAGGGTTCCCGAGCTCAGGGTTTAGGGTTTGGGGTTTAGGGTGAGGGATTTAATTTAAGTTGAGGCTTTAGGGACCAGGTTTCAGGGATTAGGGTTTGCGGCACTTGGCATGTGAGTCAAGGCCATGTCTGGCTTCTGCGGGAGGTCGAGTGCCGAAGACCACAATTACCCGGACGGTCGACAAGCTTCGCGGGTCATCTTGAGTCTTACTGTACATGGGAGTTTACGAAAATTCAAGAACCTTATTTTGGGGTCCTTATGATAAGGATCCTACTATTTAGGGTACTATATTAGGGTCCCCTATTTTCGGAAACCCCCACATAAGAGGAGCATCGACTTCTCAGAGAGGGCAAGGCACAGTAAGCACCCTCGAGAAGGACGCCCCCTCCTGGATGGTGATGGGCGAAGGCACCTCGACTGCTCTTAGGCTCACATAGACTCAAGACTTCAGTTCAGAAGAGCTTATATCTATCAGAACTCAGAAAAACTTATCCGTAAGAATAGCAGGCACAAATCACCTCTTTGAGTGGCCTTAGACAAAAAACAAGGTTTCCTACCAAGGCAAAGACTCGAGGTCAATGGTCGGCGGCAAAAGCTCTTCCGAGCAGTTTGGGCCCGACCACGGCAGCACGCAGCTGCATATGCCGGTGATGCAAAAACCCCGTCCGAGGTTGTTACCACCTGGGTCATCGTAAGTTCTAGAGAGATTTTCCCTGCTCCGGAGAGTCTGGGCCTTTTGTACTAGGGTTTAGGGTTTAGGGTTTAGGGTAGACTAAGACATCGGGAAGTTTGCCAGATATGACAGAGCCGCAGGCATCTGCTGCGCAGCTGGTGGTGTACTCGAACGTCAACGCCGGCCCAAACTCGATCGGCTCGCCCTCAATCATCACAACCAGAGGGGTTTCAGAGGGACCTGGCAGGCAAGAACTGTTAGATGGGTGGTTGTCAAAAATATGGTCCCTTTTTGGGTCCCTATTATAATACGGCACCTATTATTTAGGGTACCCCAAAAGGGACCATAATTTTGACAACTACCCAGATGGAGTGCCTGAAATGCCTAAAAAGCGGAGTGCCCGAGATCCGACCCGAAAGAGCAAGAGCCCAGCCCCGCCTTCTGGAGACTCCCAGCGAGGCACTGTACAGGTAAGGCTGGAGTTGCTCCGCCATGTTGCGTTCACAGTGACCGAGTAGCCAGACGGGTTCCTGGGGTTTAGGGTTTTTAGGGTTTAGGGTTTAGGGTTTAGGGTTTAGGGTTTAGGGTTTAGGGTTTAGTTCCTGGGCGCTCTGGAGGGGCTACAGGTAGGCGCAGCACGGGCACTGCTGGTGTCTGAGCCAACTACTAGAACAAGTACCTCGAGCCCCAAAATCCTAAGACACTAAACTCAAACATGTTACACCCCAAACCCTGCTATCCTTCGACGACTGCATCCTTTCAAGACTCAGCTCATGGACCCTAAAACCCTTACACCCCACAAAGAAGCCGTACTAGTAGCGAAAGAGGCTCCCGAAGCGACACTCGAGCCTTGCCTCTGCAGAGTTGGGGAAGTTGTAGCCGCGCACTGTCAGCAAAAGGCCTCCCATTCGGCAACTTTCAACATCTTCCTCGATCCAATGAGACCATTCTCATGAACTACGACTACCACCACTACCACGAGCACTACCAGACTACCACTGCCACTACCACTACGACGACTACTACGGCTATGACTACGACTACGACTACGGCTAAGACGACTACGACTACGCTTACAACTACAACGACGACCACGACCAGGACCACAAACAGGACCACGACCACTACCACTACCACGACCGCGACCACGAACACTACCACTATTACAACCACGACCACTGCCACTACTACGACGACGACTACTATTACTACTACTAGACTTGTATAATTGGCGACATGTCTTAGAGATATACACAAGGTCACAAGGGATGACATGTCTTGGAACGGATTGGGAAGTGCGCAAACAGGCCTCCAAGGTCCGTGCCGACCGTGGGCGCCAAGTCCCTGACTCCGGGCAGCGCTTCACCTGTAGGTAGTATTATTAGGGGTACCCCTTAAAGGGTACCCCTTCTGAACCCTACTTTTGACTCTCTTAAAAGGGACCTTATTGAGAGGGTCTATATCCCAGGGGTCCCCCTAATCCTAGGTAGGCTTAGCCTCGCTGTCTCAGGATGGAAGGGTTACTCAGAGGTTACCTGGTATATGAGTTTCTGGCTCTATAACATTGCGATAAGCGTTGATTTGAGGGTTGGAGCTCGCATAAAACACTCCCTTCAGGGTCTGAGGCTAGGGGTGGCCGTGCGGCTGAAGGTTTCACAAGCAATCCGACAGTTCCCCCAAGAAACGGCCCAGTCACAGGACTGCCCGAAGAATCCTTCTGAGCAGCTCTCGCACAAGTCGCCAGAAAAGCGCGCCGGGCACTGGCAGCCACCCTCAATCGGATCACACGTGCCTGAACGAACGGTCAGCCGGGTAAGGGGTGACACTAGTGCCCCCCCCTCCCAACAAAAAATCCAGTAACCGAGGCGCCTCCGTTTCTGCAAAGCGGGCAAGGCAAGCAAGTGCTGACAATCCCACCTCCACCATAGAAGCCCGACGCACAGGACAGACAATCGTCCCCAGTGTAGCCCAGACGGCAGGTGCAAGTGTCAGGCCGAACACACACTCCTCGCTGCAATCCACCGCAATTCGACACTGCGTCACCTCGCCGGAAGGTTATGCGTAATGCTTACAAGATTTTCTCCAAGCATATCATGAGTTCCACGTTCTGAATCTCGGGTTTCTGCCTAAGCCCGAGGCGCAGGCTACTTCCCCGGACCATCACATTATCACGGGACCTCTACTTATAGCACCCAGTCGCAGGTTGCAGTTGCACAGAAAGGCGGCAGCCATCCATCGGAGCAGTTGCAAACATTGGGCTGGACGCATACACCCCGGCCGCTGCATTGCAGGACCTGCTTGGTTTTAGGAGGTTCAGGGTCTAGGAACCTCTGATCATCTCTGATCTATCTGAACGCCCCACCTCTGCACAGTCCACCTCCTGGCAGGAGTCCCCGGCCCACCCTGAGTCGCAGGAACAGGTCTCCGGCTGCGAGCAGATGCCATTGCCCGAGCAGTTCGCGACCGTCTCACCTGAGCTGCAAGGAACACTCGCTCGCTTCTCGGTTGCTGCTAGGCATGATCTCAAGGAGCTATTCTTCGAACCGTGGCAGAGTCACAGCTGAAGCTGCCCTGCTGGAGGATGGGGATGATGTTCACATTCTCCGGGGGCACGACGCGCTGCGAGGCCTCTGAACCCCTCATTGCCCTAACTAACCTCAAACAAAGGCCCTCGTTTGCCTCCTCAAGATCGGCGGTGCCCCACCAGTTGTCAGTGGCGTTGAAGATGACTGTGTCCTCCACCTCCAGCTCATGCCTCAGAGAGTGCTCAGGATTTCGTGAGGCTCGAGGACTTCTGGCCAACCCTAAACCCTAAACCCTAAACCCTGAATTGGTGCGGCTGAGCTGGCCTTGAGGCCGGATTCACCATCAAGTTGTTGGTGAACTCGGAGCTCGAGGAGCCTCCAATTGCTCTGTAACTGGCACAAAATACTTGGAGGATCATGGGACTTAGTAAGTAAGGTTTAGGGTTTAGGGTTTAGGGTTTAGGGTTTAGGGTTTAGGGTTTAGGGTTTAGGGTTTAGGGTTTAGGGTTGAGGATCATGGGACTTAGTAAGTAAGG